CAATGTAGCAGAGAATATTTCAAACCATCAAATAAACATGAGACTGGTATTTTTAACCAACTGTACACTTTTGTCTTGGAATTAACTTTACTAGATAAATCAAATACCAGAAGAGTCAGAGGTCTGAATTTTTTTGGGCAAATCGTTTATCAGTGAGCAGTGAACCTCAACAAATGCAAGGAGAAATAAAAGGCTACAATCTTCTCCTCGGCTTTCCTTGGTCTGTGTCACTCTCCTCCCACTGGAAGCAAGAGCATCTAATTTGATTGGTGGAATGATACAGTACTTACTGGGCTACTCTTTAGAGGGCACTCACTGTGTTCCAAGGTCAATCACAGATATACAGAGAGGCATTTACGTTCCTCTGCATCCTCTTATCAAGTTCATAGGATGATTAATTGAAGGTTCTTTTCTATTTTTAACAGAGTAAGCCATGTTGTTCGCTTACATGCATCTCCAGGGTATGGGCATGTGGGTTCCATTCAGATTTAAAATTAGACAGGATGAATTCCTCTGTGGAGTTACTCTACATTTCTCCCCGAATCAAAACGTGTCCTGCAGCACAGTTTCTATCACCATCAGAGAATCACATGATAGTAATGTACGTTAGTGCTGTGATTTCCATTGTTTGTTAAAACCTCCCTCACATCATGGAAGCTTTAGAAGTTTGCTACACTGAGGCTGAATTTATGAATTCGGTATTAAACCACCTTAAATATTCTCATATATATAGCTTTGTGTAACAAGGTATGTTTTAGTCAGGCAGATTCAGGTTTTCTGATACTCCCTTACCATATTATATGTGAAAGCAACAATATGCATATTAAAACGGTAACAGTATCTTAGGTCCCTGGCAGCCTTTTCCACTTGGTTTCCATTCTTTAGGTAACAAGTTGTTGGTTTTTTGTTTTTTCCTGCTATTTGTCTATTTGTACATTTATTCACTTGGTGCTTCATTTGTTTACAATCAGTAATTTTTGGCCTTACTTCCATTTTCTCCATACATCGAATGAACAATATTTACTGGGCCTCTGCTGCAATCCTGCCACTGAAGACTAAGTACAAAGTTACATACAGAAAGCAGGGAACATTCAGACGACCACTTTTGACCAAGACTTAAGTCATGTTCAAGCCTCTGATTCCACTGCACTGGTTTCAAATTACACATTTCCATACCAGGTGGCCTGCACCTCACCAATAATGAACCAGATTTTGAAATATATCAAAGTGATTATTAAAACCACTTCCTCAATCTATCCAAGTCATTGTTCAAAAGTAAGAATGTCTTTATTCTGGGAACCTTCTTTAACTAGCATAAGATGCAAGATTACTACTGGGAGACTAATACCCTAGTTACAGAGAACACAGAACAGAGTTTGGCTATGTATAGGTTTTAAACAACACAGTCACTGCACAGTAGTCTGAATAATGTACACAAACTTCTCCACAGAGAATGGGAGGGGCCATGTAAGGTGACACATGAAAGAAACTTCAAAAAGCTGAGTTTTTGTCTTCAGATAGCTCCCAAATGCAGTCCCTTCACTGTCAACCTTGGATACACTCTAATGGGTTAAATAAACTTAAATGACAAGCAAAAATTGATAAACAAACACTGGTGATCTGTAGGATACAGATCTAGAATCTGAACCCAGATTCCAGCATAATGCTTCACAGTCTATTTCACTGTGAACTGTTGAACACTCTCCCAATAACGAAGGCACACATACATTACACAGATACGTTACATGAAACACTTACCAAAAACTTCCTCTTCTCCTTCCACCATGCAATGTATTAGAATCACAACTCTGGGGTTCTATGTGCCCCTCACATTCCACTCCATGGTTTAGACATAAATTAATTAGACTCTTTGGGTAACCCTTTCCCTATATTCTCATATAAATCACCCCTTATTCATTCTTTCAGAATTTCCAGTTGATAAAAGACATTGCTGGACTGTTCTGACAGGCCATGATATACAAACTCTTCCTTACAGTACAAGACACTAAATAATGCATATAAGCAATAACACAGATTTTTTTTTTTTTCTTTTTGAGACAGAGTCTTGCTCTGTCGCCCAGGCTGGAGTGCAGTGGCACGATCTCGGCTCACTGCAAGCTCCGCCTCCCAGGTTCACGCCATTCTCCTGCCTCAGCCTTCCGAGTAGCTGGGACTACAGGCACCGCCACCACACCCGGCTAATTTTTTGTATTTTTAGTAGAGATGGGGTTTCACCGTGTTAGCCAGGATGGTCTCGATCTCCTGACCTCATGATCCGCCTGCCTCGGCCTCCCAAAGTGTTGGGATTACAGGTGTGAGCCACCAGGCCCGGCCAACACAGACTTTTTTCTAATCATCACTGACTCAGGTAAAAGTCACCTATGCATGTTAAACCTACTAGGTGAAAGTTTGATGAAAAACAGAATACCTGTATAGTTCCAAATTAATTACAAAGGAATGTTAACTAAAGTGGAAAAGTTCAGTGGACACCAATTGAACCAAGAGACCAAAGTAGTTCAAAGTGAGAAAAAGTGACATTGTTTGTCACCTGATATGATTCACTGAGGAAGACTGAGAATACTGAAGTATTTCTGCTCAAAATGAGTATCTTAAGCCTTTTCATGAGGAAACAAAAAATTGAAAATCTGAGGTATCTCCTTAAAAACTGTTGGCTATTACTTTTTAAAAATACTGATGTGATCAAAGTCCAGGAAACTGTTTCAGATTAAACAAGACTAAAGAGACATGACAACTGAATGCAACTGAAGATCCTTTTCTGGATATTGTAGAAGTGAAGAAACTGCTATAAAGAACACCTCTGGAAAAATGGGTAAAATGTGAATATGGACTGTATGCTGTTATACTTTTATACTACTGACACATTTCATGATTTTGAAATTTGTACTAAAGTCAATATAACATGCTCAGGCTCTTAGAAAGTAAATGTTGAAGTGTTTTGGTTTACAGGAAGATAATGTCGGTAAATCATTCACCAATAATACATAAAATGATAACACTATGTATAAACACATGAAGGGAGGAGACAGCAAGAAGAGGAAGTGAGGGGAGAACACAACGATGCAGAATAAAAAGTCAATCTGGGTGAAGCGTAAATCAGGTTGCTCTGTGTGATTCTTGTGATTCTGAATCTAAAATTATTTCAAAAATAGAAAGTCAGAAAAACGCTGGTATGAGGTATACTTAGGGAGTTTATAAACTTCCAGGCGGCACTAAATTTAGAAAATATTAATCATTTCTAACTCAGATAAACAGGATTTTTGGGGGGAGTAGAGGAAAAATTGAGTACTGCCTTATCTGATAAATCATGCATTATTTGATTCTTCTTTTACTCATGGCCATTAATTGTTTAAGTTAGACTTATGTTAAAAATGCCATTTTCACCTATTAGATTGGTTACAAATTTAAAGAAATTTTTTTTTTTTTTTTGAGATGGAGTTTCGTTCTTGTCACCCAGGCTGGAGTGTGGTAGTGCAATCTCAGCTCACTGCAACCTCCGCCTCCTGGGTTCAAGCGATTCTCCTGTCTCAGCCTCCCAAGTAGCTGGGATTACAGGTGTATGCCACCACACCCAGCTAAGTTTTTGTATTTAGTAGAGATGGGATTTCACCACGTTGGTCAGGCTGGTCTGGAACTCCTGTTCTCAGGTGATCCACCTGCCTAGGCCTCCCAAAGTGCTGAGATTACAGGCATGAGCTACTGCGCCTGATCTAAAAAATTCTTAATACCCATTGTGCACAAGTTTTTATGAAAATTGGCACTTTCATAACAACACCGTTCTGTGGTGGCAGAAGACACCATTTTCAAGAGCAATTTCATAGCATCTAACTAAAACGAAACTGACGATCCAACAATGCAACAGCTAGACATCTATCCTGTAGAATCAGGAGACCAACTGCATTAGAATATACATATAGTCAACATTATATGTAGCAACAAAACAAAAAAAAATGAACCTGCTTTCCCAAAACAGAGAAATGGATTCACCCATTGTAATACATAATTTACATCCCATAAAGTCTGTGGGTAAGCTATATTTACTGATTTGGAAACATGTCCATGCCACATTAAAGAACCTCGAAATTTACAAAATAACATCTATCATAATAATCACACATTTGTAAATGAATTCCACATAAACTTATATAAGCTCAAAAAGTTACTGACAACTATACTACAAATACTACTTATCAAGCCTAGGAAGTAGGAATGGAAGATAGTAGATAAATGGCCACAGGTTGCTTCTTATCACTGAGTGACTCACTCATTCTTGTTGGCTCTGTTTCAATGAAGTAAGTGCCAAGCCTAAGTGAAAAGGAGATACAAAAGAATAAAAACACACAACCCTCAACCTGGTTTTAAGAGCCAAGAATTCAAAGGCTTAAAGCAGATTCTGCCCCATGTTTTACTTTAAATTCCCATGTTGAGGATTCAGAAAAATGACACGGGATGGAATACGTTTTCTCGCTTCTGCTTTCCGTGTATCAAAATAAACTTCTGCTGTAAGCCAGAGGTCAGAAAACTACAGCCTGTGGTCCAAATCTGGCCTAACACGTTTTTGTTAGTAAGTTTTACTAGAACACGGCCATATTCATTTGTTTATGAATTGGTTATAGCTGATTTCACATATAATGGCAATGTTGAGTAGTTACAACAGTATGGCCTATGCAGTCTGTTCTTTTACAAATTTTGCTGACCTCTGTATATTGTTATACAGACTACAAAACTCTGTATCATGTTTCATATAATGTAAAGGTGTGTGATTAGGACACTCATCTTCTTATATTCAGATAGCATCCTGAACTTGGAAAATATTAACACAAGAAATAGTATGAGATAAATTAACTTTGGAAGTACAAGAGCATCTTCTGTCCAGGTAAAATAAATGAGTATTGCAAAAGGGAACACAAGTTCTACCTCAAAATCTAGCTGCCAATGAACAAAATAATATAAGGAGACACTAATGGCTGTACACATTCATAAGATTTTTAAACCATTAAATCTTGTGTTGGTAGGATTAACTGACATCAAAGGGATTGATAATATAGTCTTAAAATTCCAACAATTGTTTGTTATTGCTAACACTGGTCTAGAGAGTTAATATTACTGAATGTCTCCCCTGTATAAACCTATCTAGACAGGTTGGGCAATACGGTAAGCAGCTCCCCAGTGGACAGTGCAGCTTATGTTACAGAAGTAGACAATTAAAACACCAAGTAACCACTATTTTATATTAAGCCCACTTAGGTTAAACAGAAAATAAAGGAAAACCAAGGTAACGTAGATAAAGGGGAAATCTCTTTGGTACCCTAAGATTTTTATTCCAGCCCCAAAGAACACTAGTGATACCAAGAAAATGATTATACAACATGTTCTACAAGATGAGATCACAATGGCTCAAAATGGCAGTGCAAGGGTCTCGCTCTCCCTTACACACTCAGTTGTCATGTCATCCAAGTTTGTGTACTTGGAAAGAGGTGAATTATAGTCACTCTCAGATCCTGATCTGGAATGAAATATACTAGGTCTAACAAAAAGGATACTACAGAAGGTCTAGTCCAGACAACACAAATGCTTAAGATTTCATTTGAGACTTGTCCAAAAACTGTGGGCTCCTGATTCAAATGAGGAAAAAAAGTATCTTACACATGGAGGAAAAACAAATCACTGGCACACCAAGGCCCTCTGCTTCTGAGAAAGACTTGCCATAATCTGGAGAGTGACTAGCGTGTCCATGGGGTTGAATTAATTATATTTACCATACACAAATCTCACTTCCATTCGAAAAGTAAAATATAAATTTAAGAAATACAATGAGTTAATATACAAAAATAGAGAGAAGCATGAAATGTATTGCGAGTGCAGAGAAGTACATAAAAACATTCCAGGCAATTACTTGCCAAAAAGCAGGTCACTTCTATTCCTGGACATACTTCTATAAAAGTTGTGCCCCTTGAGAAGCAAAGATGCAAGAAGATCCCAGAAAGAAGCAATAACAACAGCATTTTGGTGATGCTGTAGATGAAACCACCATTTGGCTATAATTCCATTATCCACACGGTCACCACCTGAGAGTACAGAAGAGATTGCAAATGGAAATAAACAACAGGTTGACACAGCCATGCCTGGTGACAGAAATACATCATCTTCAAGTAAAGTAACACTCCATAAAACCAGACTCCTACAATCTGATGTGGAATAACCCAAAACCTAAAAAAACCAGGTGTACGTACTGTATGCAAATGATAAAGCTGCCATTTTCCTTCCTTTCTCTACTCATTTTTTTCTGTGATTTGAATACCTGTCTTCTATTCCAAATTATTTCATGCCAACCAACCACTTATTTATTCTTTGAACCAGCATTTCTTGCGTAGTTTCTTCATTCTAACATATACACCAGTTCAGGGGTTAGGAATTTTTTTAAAAGACACAATATGAGGAAATACTAATAATATACTCTGTGTATTCCACAGTATTCCATTAAGATCTTTCCACAAACTAAAACCCAGTATCCACCCATCAATTCTCCTTGCTACCCTGTATGCTTCTCGCGCAACTTCTAGTAGTACTAAAGTCAATAAAATGTCTGATTTGCTTAAATGTTGGTTATTAACAAACGTTAACTATAAAGTCCTTGATTAAAATATCAACTCAAAATAATCACATAACGACAAAATAGGATGTATGAGAAAAGAAATTTAATTTCAAATAACTCAAATAAGAATCTAATGTATCATCAACATAGCAAATAGAGCAGCTTCAAAATCAGAATATAGTCCTTAATGATTTTACCTGCAGGAAAGATGTCTTTGTCCTCCTTGACTATGAAAGATGCTTGTGGAAAAAAAAAAAAAAACAGGAATGTTGGAAAATATTTGAAGATTTTTTTCATTCACTCATCAAATGAAAGGGTGTTAAGACCCTACTTTTACCACTTCAGTGTTGAAATATTCCTCATCTTCTATCTGCTCACCTTACCTACTTACTGATGATATCCTAAATCATGCAATTGGAACTAAAATTGAACCTGCTGCTCTCATTATAACCCATACTATTTACAGTAAATTCTAATTCCTAATGACTTTGCTCTCTGATGACTTTTAATATCCTATCCATTTTGTTTATTTTCCACAGGCTGCCAGATTTCTTTCTTATCTCCCTCTAGCTGATGAATTTATTCCAAAGCATTCATTCAGTAAAATTTACTGAAATAATATAAAATTTACTGAGTATACAGATAAAAAGTTACAGTCTCAGTCCAGATAACATCATATACTATGGTGAGAGCAGGTAAGAGTGGTAAATCAAAACCTGCATAAACTACTTATCAAAACCGTGTCACAATTTAGGGAGCCCTTTTATCTCTTTCATTTCACCTAACTGATAATCACTCCACAAATTCACAATCTTGTGTTTTATAGAATTCATGTATGGTTTTGGATTGTAAAATATCACAAATTAGATTCAATATCAAATTGGTCAAATATAAACAGTACACCAGGGTTTCTGATTCTTACCAGCACTTTTGAAGAATGACGTCTACAAAAATAGTAAACAAGCACAATGATTTGGATTTATATGCAAATATCAGTCAGTGAAGAAGTTCTCACTTCTTAAACTGGTACCACCTCAGCTATAACTGTGAAAAATATGGGAAAATTGTGACATATGACCGGTTAATATACAGAAGGTGAAGTTCTCTCATTCCTCAACCTCCTAGAGTCTGCAAATTATTAAAATATTGAAAGATCATTTTGATTAAACTAATTTGTGAACCCACTGTGGTTAGTTTGTTTTTGCTTATTTACTAACACATGTTGAGAATGCAAAAACAAAACTTTCATAATTTCATAATGAATTTGTCCATGAAAATATACCATTGTCTTTCAAACGTCCATCTTTCCCGTCAACTTTACATATGACTTTATTATTCCATCAGCCCATTCTCATAGTCATCAAATTCCTGTACCATCACCGTGTGAATCAACCCACTGTCCATTAAGCCACTCCAAAGCTATCAAACACGCAGCTATCACCCATGCAACCAATGTATCCGTACCCTGATCCCTACATTTATCCAAGATTTTAGATAGCCGTACTTGTATTCATCAATCTAAAGATCCATGCATATAGCATTCCATTTTTGATCCACTCCAATGCTAACACCTAGGCATATAACCATCTGCACCTTCACTAGATAATTCCACTGTGCATATAACCAAACATACACCCAACAGGTTATTGGTTTTTGTTTTGTTTTGTTTTTGGACGGAGTCTTGCTCTGTCGCCCAGGCCAGAGTACAGTGGCACAATCTCTGCTCACTGCAAGCTCCGCTGCCTCCTGGGTTCACGCCATTCTCTTGCCTCAGCCTCTCTAGAAGCTGGGACTACAGGTGCCTGCCACCACGCCCAGCTAATTTTTTTGTATTTTTAGTAGAGACAGGGTCTCACCATGTTCGCCAGGATGGTCTCAATCTCCTGACCTCGTGATCCGCCCGCCTCAGCCTCCCAAAGTGCTGGGATTACAGGCGTGGGCCACCGCACCCGGCCCCAACAGGTTTTTAAAACTTGCACTCTCCATCCTCGCATCCAGTCATCTGCTCATATTCTACTTTCCATCCATTTCTTACATTATTCAATATACCAAATTTTGCATGCATCCATCTGTTATTATATCTCAAATTATATTAGAAGATTAATGTATTCATCTTTCAGGGCTTTGAATATCCAATCCCACATAATTTCAATGACTAGTTATTAAATCCACATAACCATATAATACGAAGAAAATTTCACTAACCAGTCTTGCATCCTTCCACCAATTCACATGTCTGCCTGTCTACTACTACAACCATGCTCGAAACCACCAATCCAACCCTGCCTCCTTGAATGCACCTATCCACCAATCACTGAATTATTGTGTGTGACTTTCCCTCTGTACTCAGATTGAAGTTGTGGCCACTTCAAAATCTTACTGGCTTAACACATTTACTTCTCACTAATGAAAATATTCCTGTGGGTCTGTTATGATGGCTCTCCAGGAAGCTTTGCTCCATATGATAGATCACTGTTCCAAGGGCATTCACCTCTTTTGGAAATAACACATCAACACATGGTTCTACAATCACCATGGGTAAGATGTAAGGTAGAATCACATATAGGCCACGAAATTCCTGTGCCTGATACATTTTACATTTTTAATGGGTCACTTTTACTTCCAAAGAAACGAAAAGCCCCTGATTAAGACTTAAAGTAATCATCTCTATGAACAGTCAAACATCTTCCACAATGCCTATCTCAAAAATAATTAAGTAGGATAAGGGGATTGGGAAAGTGTGACAGAGGTAAAAGCTACAGCCAGGGAAAACAAGGAAAAAGTGAGCATCTTCCAGGACCTAATAAAACACTCTCTAACCCAGTATAGGCAGCCTTCACAATGTATTTCCAGAGGGATTTCAAAATTTCTATGGAAAAGTGATTACTCTCACATTTGACAGCTTAGAGTTTGGAGGTGTATGATGGTTTCCCTGACCCTGCTCATTGTACATTGTACAAAGGAAAATGAGATTCAATTATCTTTTTTTTTTTTTTGAGATGGAGTCTCACTCTATTGCCCAGGCAGAAGTGTAATGGCACACAATCTCAGTTTACTGTAACCTCTGCCTCCTGGGTTCAAACAATTCTTCTGCCTCAGCTTCCTGGGTAGCTGGGATTACAGTCGCGCAACACCACATCGGGCTGTTTTTTGTATTTTTAGTAGAGACGGGTTTCACCATGTTGGCCGGGCTGGTCTTGAACTCCTGACCTCATGATCTACCAGCCTCGGCCTCCCAAAGTGCTGGGATTACAGGCATGAGCCATTGCGCCCAGCCAAAATACAATTATCTTTAAGTTTCACCTATCTCTGGGCCAATAGTAGGTACACTGAGACATGAGGTACAGATTACTGCGAATTACCTCATGATAGGGAGATAGCATCACTGAGACGTTGGATTTTTACCCGGATGAGGTTTTTGTTGGTTCCCCCTGTGAAGGGGATAAAGTTTTCATTTAAGTAGAAAGTACACCTAGTTTGTGAGACCAGAAAAGTATCCTACAGTAAGCATTATCAGTGTTTAATGTGTCCTTTTTATCCCTTCCTTGAGAAAGCATAAATACAGCTCCTAAATCTCCTGAAGTTTTGGAAAGCCATGGGATTTACCCAATTCCTTTACCTAATTTATCATTACGTATTTAAGAGACAATGGATGATTTTCCATAACTCTACCAAAGCCACAGTGAAAAATAAAACCTTATGCTGTCATAAAAGCAGTAAGAAGCATTACTCTTAGTGACGTTGGCCCATGAGTTACTGCCATGAGCACGCAGCATCCTTAACAGTCACTGTTGAACAGTTACTGTGAGAATTACATGATTACAATCATTACTGATTCTTTCCTAAACTGACCTATCCATACATTCTTTCAGGCACATATCCATCAAATTCATACATTCATACATCCACCTTCAGTTTATTTTGCGTTGTCAATATAGCTGTCCAAAGCTTTTATCCTTACTCCCCTTCCACTCTTGCATCAATCTATACACACATACACACACAAACATGCTTACATGTACACCATACTTCATGTATTTATTCTTGTTCCTTAATTTCATCAAAAATGCATTCAAGATCCATCCATCCATCAATCCACACATACAGTCCCATTTGCACATCACCTACTTGTGATTCCATTATTATTCCTGATCTTATACCCATTTATATACCCATTCCCATCTGTTCATTTATCCATTCATCCTACCATTAATCCAGTCATTCAATGAAGCAATTAACCACTTATCATTCCCCATTACCCAAGTGCCAACCAGCTGGCCAGGCAGAGCTCCGTACAGCTTGGAGTTTTACATGGTGCCTTGGCTTAACTAAACTTTCTCATACTACTGAAGATCCAATCAGCTAGTCCACAGGCCTAACTTCAAATAATCTTCATACCTTCTGACTTTATAATTGTTAAGCAGAATCTCGGGTTTCCTTTTTTTTTTTTTTTTTTTCAGAAGGAGTCTCATTTTATCACACAGGCTGGAGTGTAGTGGCATGATCTTGTCTCACCGCAACCTCTGCCTTCTGGGTTCAAGTGATTCTCCTCCTTCAAGCCTCCCAAGTAGCCAGGATTACAGGCACGCATCACCACACCCAGCTAAATTTTATATTTTTGATAGAGATGGGGTTTCGCCATGTTGGCCAGGCTCATCTTGACCTGCTGACCTCAGGTGATCCTCCCACCTCGGCTTCCCAAAGTGCTGGGATTACAGGTGTGAGGCACCATGCCTGGCCTCCTCCTGAGGAGTTTGCAACCTTTGACAAATACTTCAAAAGCTACCTCAAGTTCTTCCGAAGAAATTAACAGAAGAGAGGAGGCTGGGATTTATTTGGGAACTGACCCTGCTCTCATAGAGAAAGCTTCTTCACTCACTACTCCAAGTATTTAAAAATGCTATCTTCGTATTAAAGGAACTTTATCCGGAATGTCTGTTCTTCTTCCTAAGATACTGCAAAACCCCCTTCTTTGTTTTACTTACTATTCCACAATAAAAACCTATTTATTCCACAACTCATTAGCTCATGCAGCATCCCATTTTAACAAAATTCTGTTGAAAGCCCAGTACAATTTCAGTTACTACCCAGGGCACCATTAACAAACATGGTTATCTATTATGATGATGAAAGTACCCTAAGCACCATATTACCATTTTTACTTTCTGTAGCCTACATCTCCCCTATTTCTACATTATATCCAAGACATTATCACATAGTGGTATACAAACATCCATCAACCATTCTTACTGCTACATATTACTAGAAGATGAACTACGTTTTTTTGCCACAGATGATATAAATTTACAAAATATTAAATTCCTACCCATATGTTTTACATTTTACATCACTAGCAGCAACGTATGATTTTCCGTAATTCCCAACATGTTGCCAAAAAAAATGTTGTCAAACTTTGGACTTTTGCTAATCTGATAGTAGAGAAACTAATTATATCTTAGCTGTATTTTCAATTGTCATTATCCTTATTATGAGCAAATCCAAGAACCCTTTTATATGGTTAATAGCACTTTGTATTTTTTTAGTGAACTATGTGCTCAAGTCACTTTTCCTTTGAGCTGGTATTTTTCCCCAATTATATTATATCTTACATATACCAAAGGTATTCTTATGTGATGTCACAACTAACTTTTTCAACTTTGTCATTTCATTTTTACTATCAATCTTGGTGTTTCTTGTTGCTTCTACAATGTGTATCATCAGTAATTTCCTCAAAATTGGAGAGACATTCATTTGCCTTCTGAAACTGTATAATTTCTGCAGTTTTTAATTTAAACCTCTGATTCATTTTAAATTCTTCATGCTACATACCATGAGAGATGAATCTAATTTCTTACTCATTTGGCTAACAATCTACCCCCATGATTGCAGATAACTTTAATACACTTTCTGTTTCTCATGTCAACTTACAGGTCTTCTATTCCATGACATTACTTTGCTTATAAATGTGCCATTAACATAACTCTAAACACATATAAGATTTTGTAAGTCTGTGATACCCAGTCAAGTCATCTTCCTCATTACCA